CAATTGATACTACTGTCGAGCAAAATTCGGGCCCCCATAACTTTTTAAGGAGAACCATTTTGCAGATTTAATTTCCATTTTCGTAAACAGCATTCAAAACCCTATCGATCTATCCGGGTCTGAATTCAAAGTTCCAAGATAAGTAGACTACCCCTCCCTGGTTAGTAACAAAAGGAAGCCGGCAAAACTTTGCAACGTCGCTCTGGACGTTTGTAAAGTACCGAGATCACCAAAATCCTCCACCGTATTAGATGGGCTTCACCTTCTCAGTCGTTCAGCAGATGATTCATTGATTCGAAGTTCCAGACCATTGTCACTACAACATCAATTCATCTGGAGGTGATCCCTCCACTGACATTGTGAACTTGAATCGCGTGGGACACACTACCCCAGGCATGGTCCGGGGATAGAATCATCGTCACCGCTTAGCTCAACCAAACCTTCTATTCCTACGAGGACAGCTGCTAGAAATATAAAAAACACATATGAGCTCTTCGAATACTTTCATCATTTACGACTACTCCCACAAAAAAAAACTACAAAATGTCCTTGGGATTGTTTAAAATTGATCTGCCCATTTCCTTCAGACTCGCTATAATTGTATAAATTCTTCTATAAGTAGGCTTTCGGCGTCACACTGGTTTAATTCGGGTACTTTCTAGTGCAGTACTGATTGATAATTTGTTTATTTGTATAAAAAGTAACCAACAAATCCTCTAACGATTCAATTAATTAACTTATATATTAGAAATTTGTACAAATTGAAAACCTAGTCTATTTCGGTAGCTACCGGTATACACATACTAGTCATCAACAGGTCGAGGTTTCAAAACCCCCAAGCTGTTCGGCAAAGACAACGGTGTCGATTCTTTCGGTTGATCAGCGGATGATTGTCGTTTTTCACGTTGCTCCATAATAGATGAATTGAGGTATGGCACAGGTTTCGATTTCGGCATAATTTTCTTTTCGGCAAAATATCCTATTGTTCCTATCACAGCTGCAACTGGTAAGACCAAATAGTACGAGAATCGTGTTCCTAAAAGTTTGAAAATATGACTCGGAAGGAAGCAGTAATGTAGTGCTTACCAAGTTTTCAAAGAACCATAAAAATATTGTAAAATAATAGAAGAGCACCAACAAAGAGCGAATTCAAGGGGTGCTTTGGTAGTAGATGAACCACATCGAAGACCATCTTCCTATCCTACTGTAAATCAAAAGCTCATGCTTGAGACCTAGGAGAACAGTGAAACTTTCAGATCCTGGTTGGTCGTTGCCGGTAAACTATCGTTGATACATCCTCTACTATTTCCTCTCTTATTCCTAGGTCCTAGCCTCAGAAGAAAACGTTGTACTAAATCCAATTTGTTGTAGAGAAACCGCCCGGATTTTAATAATAATGGCTAACACTACTAACGACTACGAGCTCTCGAAAGATCTCGTTGAAGTGGGTGCCTTGGTAAGGTCATCATTCATTTCTGATAGGTACCATTTTGCGCCTAATGGGTGTAACACATAAGTTCATCAGAAGCACTCATCACACCAATTTAGCTATTTACTAGTTTGTAAACGTTGTGTATTCTCCTGAATTTGAAAATTACATCATACTTTAAAAAACAGCGCCAATTGACCAGGTCTCCAAAGACTCCAACTGATGTTTGTTAAAGACAACCGAGGAGTACATTTGCTGAGAGATCAGCATTTGCTGCACTAACTGACTGTACCCTTGTTAATTAGATTAGTATTTTTACAGTCTGATCTAATGGCTCCTTTTGGGGTCACCTGACAAGTCATTTGTTCGAGTGTTTGGAAAAACTCATATTCATGTGTGTCATTCATATAATTCGTATAATTCTCGGTGAAGAAAACGTCTGGCGGTTCCGCCAAAAAAGAAAATGGTCAAGCCAAAAGGGCGTCAGTCGGCACCACTGACAAAAAGTGAATTTTTAATCCTGTGATCATTGAATTCGCAGTAAGTTTGAAGAAAACAGGCATCGCATTCAATTGGAGCAAAATGGTCCCGTGTTAAAAATGATTGTCACGTTCGTAACAGTTCCGCAACAGAACACACAAATAAGGCAGCAAGGAGTGTCATAGCAACTCGACAAATGGCATGCATGTTGGTGTAGTAAGAATAACGTGTTAGAAGACAAACTCTATAGACATAAAACAAACCCGATACAAATATAAATCCCCACATTTCTCACCTAGTGCGTAGATTAATGGCCACATGATAATGAACACTGAGGCATGTAATCTGAAAATAGGTATAGACAGAACTTTCACATGAAAAAATCTAAAATATCCAGCATTTACGAGCTGCTTTCCAACACATCAGGTAAAAACAGTGTATGGATATTTAGGTAGCGGCGCTGCTTCATAGTTCGCGACGCGCATCAAGCGACGAGCGAGGGCCACTGTCAACACTCACCGCATGAGCTCGCGGAGACGATCGATACCGTGAGTTAGTTGCGACACTTCGGTATTGAATGTACTTGCGAAACTTTTAACTAATTCGTGCAACTTCGGTATTTCATTTCTTGGTTGGTTCCCGCTATTCTTCATCCTTTTAGTGTGAGGCTAATTACTGATCAGAGATGGTGTTGATCTCCTGATTACTTCTGCCGTATTGATCACTGTTAACAGGTCTTTAAGGTCTCCGTGGGTTAAAACGCTCTGAGACCTCAAAGGGATCATATACTAAGCAATCAATATGGTAGGAGTAATTGGCCATAGAACAGAAGATCGAAATTTTCGAGTGAGAGATCAAGCGCTTAGAAGAGTTACGAAACCTTTTCCGCTGGAAGTGTGTAGACAGAGAAAGTACTCAGCTGTACGTATTGTATAATAGGATCATACGCCTCCAAAGTAACTAATACTTAACCGTTCTCCTTTGGATTCCGTATACATATAAACTAGCAACAGACTACTAGTAATTTACCGATGTGAGCTGAAAAGCTAAACAGAGCAGTTTGATTACCTCAAAGATATGAATTCAGCTATCTATAAAAGCCACCTGTCGGCAAAAGATTCGGGCATAGCAACTTCGCCTATTCAATAGGGTGCAGATAAAGCGGTCAAATGGCTGAGTGGCTATCTACTTAGTGATAACATTTTTGAAACCCGATCGCCGATGGTACGTCGCTCATTGCACGCATGGACTATGAAAGCAGCCGAACCAGCACACTTGCTGCCTATAACAAGTTTAGCAGTTTGCGGCACGCCCCGAAATGGTATCAGTTCATCCCTCGTAAATTTGGTAGCGCGTTATAATTATTCTATTGGCGCCATCGTTTTTGAAAGCACAATGAGGGCAGAATGAAATAATGGTTGGCAATCTTTCAATGACTTATAACACAAGAATTCTCTAGAAAAAGATTGTGAAACCGGAAACACTTTAACAACAAACCTGTAAACTTTACAGACGACACCAAGTGATGTCCCAAGTGTGAGCAATATATACACAGGATCAAACTGGAAAAATAGATTACTTGCTCTCCCTTGCATGACTCACATATTCTACAACGCAGACTTGCAGAATAATCAAGCAGATCAATGAATAGGTACAAGTATGATTGTCTAAATCGTACTTCAAATCGTAGCACAGCAGGTATTGATAATATTTTATTGTCACGCCCATATTTTATTACGGGAGAGATCAATTCAACCTAGGCATTTTGAACACGGGTTGTAACTCTGTTTCGGGTTCTTCTTCTTCAGGTGCTGTGGTCTTTTCTTGGAAAATAGGCTTCGGCTGCGTTTTACGATAGGCTTTGTCCACATAAAGCGGGTTCTTAGCGGCCTGAAGAAAGTATATGAGTAAAGCTACTAAGAATGGATAGCAAAGCAGCAATTTCAGAAAACCGACCTCTTCTGCATGCCGTAGAATGCTTGACCTCACATCTGTATCCTCCAGGAACGTCTTGTTTTTCATTGTTCCCATTTGTTGAGCCACATATGAATGCAAACTGCCACCACTTGCAACCACTAAAAGCAAAATTTACGCGAGCAAATACAGAGTGGACCTAAGTTCTCATCTTTTCATTTCAACATAAAAAAGACATAATAAGCACCTCTTCCATTGGCACTTCTTCCAATAGGTACATCTGCTGGCTTGCGGAATTGTGGACGTTGTTGATTGTCACGCATACGTAGGTACTTTTTCAGCCGGAATCCGGTCACCTCCTTTTCTTCACCCTCTTCTCCACGTGGTTGGAACATTTCAAGGGTAAGTGCTGAAATTGCATAGCAAAATAGTCAAGTAGTCTATAAGTCAATACGAATATGCGACCTACACATCTAATGGTCGAAATACTAAACAAGTCAACTTGTTCAGGTTCGATTCAAATGCTCATCTCAGATTTCAAAAAGGCAATCGTAACTTCACTCACGTGACAGAATCATCTCTTCACGAACAAACTCGCTAGCACGATTCCTGCGAACTGGTCTCGTGATGCATCCCAAAACCCCACGAGTTGACAGTTGTTGGTCATAATATATTCTGAAACCAAGCATATTGAAGGGATTACGTGATAGTGATCATAAGCGAAGAATTAGTACAAACCTTATAGTTCCATCGCTAAGACCTACTAAAATCTGGTTTAGTTTGGGATGCCAATCAATCTTCGTACAACTCTGAAATGAGTATAGTTTTGAAAAGGGATGTACCAAATAAAATCACAGAACAGATGCCATTCGCCTATCTAACCAAGACAAATCTAGAACGTAGCAATCTAGAACACGGCGGCCAGAACTACTAAAAAATTAATAAAATGCAAGCTGAACAAAACACTTACTATGCCAGGATATTCAATCTTGTACACAAGATCGAACGTATCCGCACTGTAGAAAAGCAATTTGCCGGCCATATCTTCACCAGGTGTTGATGTGCCCGTATAGACCAACTCCCCTCTTGGAGAGAAACCGCAGTCCGTACTAGAAAAGCAATAGAAAACGTAGAAAGCGAATGTTGGCTAGTATAATATGGGAATGAAATAATTCCACCACAAAGCGAAACGGTTGTTGAGCAGCTCTAAAAGCTTTCTAAACGATACCTTCTAAACGCATTTTCCAAATCCGTCAATTCAAGAATAGGTTTCTTGTTGTCCTTGATGGACCACATCCTCATAGCGTCATCCAAACCTCTCGTCAGAACTTTCTGAGAATCCGGAGAAAAGGCAATGCAGGTAATCGGACCTTTATGAGCATTCCGCACAAGGTATGTTGTGTTGACCTACAAATTAATTTTCATCAGCTCTTGACCATCCAAGGCAGGGAAAAAGGATATTAAAGTGTTAAGGAACACATGAAAAACAAAATTGCAAAAAAAGTACGAAAAAAGTGAGGTTCCTCGTGTAATGACAAGTTGAAAAGTGAGCCAGCGCACGAAACTTACATAGAGATTCCCGTACTTCCACATCTGAATGGACCCATCGTCACAACCGGCAACAATTAGCTTGCCATCCAAAGAGTAAGAGCATGTTTGCGGCATGGCCCGTTTACCACCAGCAGTTTTCGTTTTTATGACCTATAATTTAATGCTTTGATTAGTAGCTGTAAGCAGAACCAGATCCAGTAACACACAGATGCTTACCTTCCTATGAGTGTTTATCGTTTTTGTCATAATCTTGAAATCGGCTAGACTCCATAAACGTATAGTTCTATAAACATTAGATTAGAGTGGTGAACAACTTCGTAACTAAATATTTCGGATTGAGTGCTTACCCGTCATCACCACATGTCATGAACTCGTCTTTGATTATTGGATTGAATTGGCAACAGTTGACAGCAGCCGTGTGTCCTTTTGTGTAACTGACATCTACGAGGTACTGATCTCCTATAATGGATTCAGCATTTACAAGCCTTTTCAGGTAAAGCAACGGAGCAGCAAGGAATGGGCTTTGTTTCTAAAATCGCGTATTTTTTTACAGCCGCTCAGCTTTTCATAACCACGACACCGCAATTGATCGACAACAAAAACATTCACAACAACAACAACAACAACAACAACAACAAACACTATATACCAAGCATAGTTCAACAAAATGGTACACCAACCTCGAACAGTTTCAGCCCACTGTTTACCACTTCTATCAATAAGGAAAACTTGTGCTGAAGTACTGCAGACTAGCATTGATTCACCATTAGCGCTGAAGGCGATGTCGTTGATAATGTGGCTGAATGCAGAGAAATTAATGGATTCACAAACACGCTCTTCGTGATAAAGAAAAATATATAAAAGTCAAAAACTGAAAAAATTGAAATCAGTAAAATGTACCGCGATTACCTCTCACAAGGCATAAGGTCTTTGTCGGAACGTAAACTCATGTCCATTTTTTGAAAGTCAAATACTTTCACTTGAAAATCAACACCGCCCGACGCAAAGCGTACCCCGTTCGGCTCGAATCGTAGAGCTGAGACCTTAATGAACCTAATTTCTGATAAGGCTGGGCTGCAGTGAACTAAAAGCCTTAAATACCGCAGTGCAGGTAAAAGCACAGAAAAAGAGCATGCTTCAAAAACAGAAACTTACCGGTTTTCCACTATGAACTAGCTTCGCTTCACAGGCTGTTGGAATAAGGTTGACAATGGGGATCTGAACAAATTTCACAGGTATTAGGCTGTACTTCCACTAAATCTCTTGACAAACTCACCCCGTCACCGCTGTAGTCTACAAAATCTTCATCATCGTCGTCAACTCCTTTATTCTGGGAGTCTGACGAGCTGACGATCACACTTTTATCGGGTACAAAGCCGGGAGGCAACATAGGTAAGAAATCATCTATAATTAAATCATAGAAACCGGGAACAGTATCAGTTCGATAACTGCAACTTACCGTCTTCTTCGCTGACGGTTCCACTGTCCTTTAAAGGTTCCCTCTCTTCAGTCTGAAACGAAGACCATCAAATCTTGAACGTTGACGCAAGAACACACACACAAGAAAGTCGCAGAATTAGGATCGCGACAATTTTTTTACAATCATTTAAAACTCTTCAGGCTGGAGCTTTTTTTTAACTTCATTATGACATCCTGCAGAACTCCAAAAACTATTTCATGTTCACAATGCTGTGCTACGGCTAGTAAGAGAGGCTTACGGTTTTTTCGGTTCCTGTCTTGGTTTCTGCGATTCGAGCTTGTGCAGCCTGGAAGAAATAAATTTTAAAACAACAAAAAGACCTAATGGCGGAAACACGAAGAAGTTCTGATGGACCTTTCTTGTTTCTTCAAACATGGAGTCTAAATCGAATACTCTTGCTTTCTTCTCGGCATTCTTAGACTTCAAGCCTCCTGTAGAACCACAGAGGTATTCATCGTGAAACTAGTGAAGTCCCAAATTATAAAGGAAAATGTACCTTCTGACGTCGATGGAGCGCATTCCTCTTCAACTGCCGCACTCATCCTAGAAAATGGTTTTTGAAAGCGCATTAAACGTTTGCGCCGTAGACAGGAAGCGCTAAGTAGTCAAAATACGAATAACAACAATAACTGATTTCAGTAAAGTTATGAAAACAAACTGAATTTTGAAAGTTTGAAAGAAAATGAGTAAATCATAGCCTAAGAATTGAGGAAGCACCAAAATCTAACTGATTACTGCTGAAGGAATCTCCGCAAGACACATGTATTATTTGTGGAAGGGGTTAGAGGCAATTCGAAAGTTTTTTAATTCCAAAGAACTTAAACAACATAATCAGACAAGTCCTACGTGTGAGCGGTTGCGTCGCGGGTTCGCGCTATAGCGCGTTATTTTAGGGTGTCTAAGCACTGCGGGAAGGTTTCGACGACAGGAGATTTCCTCTTTCGTAACTCTGCTTATTGGCGGTTGCGTAGGGCATTCGAGCACGTTATTCTAAGAAGATAACTGATTGTAAGATGTTAAACCATAGTTTGGTAACTTGGTAAGTTTGGTAGTTTGGTATGTCTCT